CAATGCTAAATTTTCAAAGATATGTATTTTAATTTCCCACATGTAAGATTTGCTTGTTCCTACATCTTCTTTCACATAATTATCTCTGATTTACCTACTTCCTTGAAATGTATGGACATTGCTGTATGAGCTTAGTTATGGCTTTTTTCTGCATTTACTTTGTTCTCAGTTCATGGTTTTGAGTATTAACTGTTCACCAGTTATGAATTGCTGCTAAATAGACTTGAATTTCAAACTTGTATAGTGTGCTCTCTCATTATTTGATTCCATGTCTTACCAAATACAGATAGTTTTTGTAGGAGCTTTTTTAGGTGCCTCTTCAATCACATGATAGTTCAACTTTCACTTTTAAAAAATTTTCATGTTGCTGGATGCAGAATAAAACTTAAAGCACTATATGCTGTAAAAGTGAATGTAAATAAGAAAATTATATCACTTTATATTACTTTGCATCAGTGTTTTGGTTTGGTTTGGTGGGACTGTATTTTGATTCTGTATTTTGATTCTTTTTAACAATTTTCATTTTCAGGGCAATTTCTCTTTGTGAGTTTTTATCTTTTATTTGGTATTGATGTCTCATTTCTTATAAATGATTATTTAATTTATAGATTGATATGCATATCTAATTTGGTAATAGTTCAAAACTTACAAACCTGGAAAATGGAAAACTAGGAGAAGGCTGCTGTTTATGATACTGCAGACTGCCATTAAGGACTAAGTTTCCCAGGCATGCTGGATGTCCTTCTTGAATACTCTGTCCTTATACATACCTGGAAATGGATAGAGAATAAAAAAATAACTAAAACATTGTATGCCTTTAGATACTGGATGCTACATATTGCTATGCTTGCAATGCTAATCTATGCTGTAAAATTAGTTCTATTAATATAGGTATCCTGACTGGCAACCAGACACTGTTTCTGTGCAAAGATATCCAATGAAAATGAAAGGCAAATACCAAGATTCAGATATTCAGCTAGGAAAAGCTGAGAAACTGAAGGCATAACTTAGATGCCCAAATACTGATATGATATGAAAATGTGTGCAGTTCTCTAAACTGCTGTTTGATGACTCCAGGAATGTTTAGAAATTGTCTCATTTTTGTATGGGTGAAATAGAACACACAGCTTATGCATCAATATTAACAATACCTGAGCATCAGCAAGCTCAAATAGAGAGGAAATTTAGTTTTTATTTCATGCACGTAACTACTTCTATTTTTTATTTTTGAAGGGGCATGTGCTATTAACTGACATTAATCAGAAAACAATTACCACCTTTGGCAAAGATCTCACAAATGCTTTGCTATACCCTGAGAATATGGAGTTTATTTATTCATAGTTAGAAATACAGAATGTAAAGTCCACATAAAAGTGAAATGAGGTGAAAGAATCTGTGAAGGACCAGGAATCAGAATGGGGAGAATCTCAGAAGTGGAAAAAGATGTACAGTGATTGAAAGGACTTTATGATACAGACTTTACAGTTATTATGTATATACACATTGTATGCCTCCCCAGAATTTGTATTTCCCGGGCACGTCCCGGCCTGTTCGCCTCCCTGCTCCTCTGTTTCTCTGCGGATTGGCTGGAGAAGCTGCAGAGAGGGGACAGCCTCCATTCGCCCCTTCTCTCTCCGGTTCCTCCCACGTTCCTCCCTCTTTTGCCCGTGTCCCTATCCTGGTTTGTCCCCCCGCTTGTCTGTCTCATGCTCCGCCCTATGTTCTGGCCCTTTCCCCTCTCGAGCTGATGAAAGACCTGGTGCACGCGTGAATAAAGCATTCTACCTGCATCCCACCTTTGTGTCCCGGGCTCGTGCAATGCCACTGTCCCCCCCCCCCCCTTTTCGGACCGCGGCAAGAATCTACGTGGATGACAGAGGAAAAATGTTCTAAAAGCATTTTTCTACATTTTTTAAAATATGATAGAAATCTGACTCTTGCTTTTCCTAGACTTTTTCTCATTTTCAAGTAGTATCTCAATTAGAAACTAAATACACGATTGCATGTCTGGTCTGTTTTCATAGACGCTTGACACTTTGATTGTGAGTTAATGAATTTTCTTTATTTGATTTGAAATATAAGGTTAGATATGCAAGCATGAGTCTACATTTATCTTATCTAATACAATAGGATTGTTACTAAAATACTTGGTAAAAAATGATGTCAAACCAGATTCTAGTCCATATTTAACATTCCTGTTATGGAATAGCACTTAGAAAGCATCTTTTGTCTTCTCTTGATATTTGTTCAACAGAAACTGAAAGTAAGAGTGCTTGAGTCATCTCTACTTGTGGATGAATAAGTGGACAAATGACATAAATTAACCCTTAAATCTTCAGAGTATGTGGGACTGCACAGCCTCAATACACCAAGGCTTAACCTCTCCAGAAAAGAGCAAGGCTGGAATTCTGGAAGGCTCTTAATGATGGCTACTTTCCTACAGTGTTATCATAGTTAGTGTTCAGTTAGTTATGAGTATCTGTATCACGTATTATGTTATTGTTAGCTTTTGATATGTTACATTTTAGTTTGGTATAAAAGACAATGTGGGGCCTCTAAGGGCCAAGCTTCACAAAAAGGAATGTGGACATCTAACATGGATATCCTGTCTTTATTGGCTTGGAACAAGACATAATAAAATAGAGTTCTTGCAAACACCATGAGAGACAAAGGTGAAATCCAAAAATGGATCTTCATTTTGCTGCCAGATATGGTCTTGTGGCTGAAGTTCTGAAACTTCAACTTGAAAATACTGAAATTCAGAGCAAATCTTCAGTCACTTATCTTGCCTACAGCCATTTAAGATTCAAAGTGTCTCCACAGCTACATGGAGAACATAGAAGAACACTTACATGGATGGATGACATTATACTTAACTGCAATAATTGCAAGCATGACTTCTATCATTCAGTATGGTTGCTGGATTCCTGCCTTTTACTTAATGCTAAGTTACTGTACCACTAGTCAGTCATGACAGACTAGACGGTGTGAGAGACTTGTGTTCTTAAGTCTAATAAGAATGTAATACTCAGCTTTCTGGGTAGGAAAAAAAAATGAAGGAAAAAGAAAAGAACTGTCACATAACTGAATGGTGCTGGTATAAGACACCTCCACATCTGTTGTCAAAATGTCCCCTCAGTGTACAAGATAGTTTAACTCATTCATAGGACTGTGCATCACTCTGATTGACACCAAGGGAGCCTGGCTTAATACATTCAATATCATTTCACAGTTAGACAGAAAGACATTAAGTTTTGTCATGTAAAGTTACTTTTTAGATGTGGATCTTGAATACTCAATGAATCCTATATGGCCCATTTTTTATCCTGCTGCACAAATTGGGAAGCACTATAGTCTGTGGATTTTACAGAATGGTTCCTTTTTTCTAAATTCCAGTATTTTTTTGTCGTGATGTTTTTCCACCCTGTGCAGAATTAACCTCAAGTTTTTTTCTAAAACTGTAGCATTTATCTCTACCTTCTAATATTTTTACGAAGCTTATTTACTGTAAACATGCTGAATTTGTTTTTTTTTTAATATAGCCTAACTACCCATATTCATACCAAAAACTAGACAAAAAAAGAAAAACATAAACAAACACCCCACTAAAGAAACACACCCCCCCCCGAAAACCCCCAAACCCCAAGAAAACAAAGCAAAACAAAAATCCTATGAAATGTTTTCTGAACCAAAAAATAACCAATGAATTAATGTGAATTCAAACTGATTTACTTCTCTGTCACTAACTGAGAAATAATTCCAGTGTTTAGTTATTGTCAGGTGATCAGCCAGTATAAGTGAAGACCTTTTTTTGGCCACAGGTGAAGTCGAGTTCAACACTGTTGCTAGGATTCACCTTAGTAAATACATATATTTAAACTTTAGAATCTACACTTGACATAGCCATCTAGGCTATCACGGTAGAGAACAGTTTCTTCTAGAGTGAACTTTTTACCTATGGGAATACATAATAAATTCCTAAAAGTGCCTTTTCCTTTCCTTTAAGTATAAAAGAAGTCTACACTGACCAGCTCAAGTTTAGGTATTATAGATACCTAAAACTACCTGAGTTGTATTTACTATGTACTGGCAAGATGTTTCATTCTGTTTTCCACTCAAAATAGTATGCATTCCTATATCTACAGATCAGCCACCAAAGTCTCATCCAAAACAGTAGCTTTCGTGCCTGCAAACCACAGGTACCTTTGATCACACAGAGGTTAACACCGTATGTAGGCATTCACAATACTTGATATATCATGGATCTTGAAACTCCTCCCACACACCTGTTGAACAACACTGTTTTATACTTTGGCATATACATACTATACTTGATCTGAACTCTGTCTAAACATGACACAACTTCCAAGTTCCTAAGTGTCTACATTCCCATTTCACTAGATCTTTCTTCAGACTTTATGTCTCTAGAGTTTGGAACAACAGGATTTTTACCGCTATGTCGGTGTATTTATTGTCTGCATATAGAAGAGTTTTGAAGAACTTCAAACTGAAGTGAGAAAATGGTATAGTTTTAAAAGTTCAAAGAAGAATATTGAATTGTGTCAAAGTATACCTCCACAGTTTCAGTCTGGGACTACACATACAGGATGTTTCTGTAAAAAGGAGATACAGAGGCACAAGGTATGTTAGCAGAAAGGAGCAGAGGCAGAAATAATGACCTTCTGGTGGCTTACCAGTGTTCATTTTATGATCAGTTGTGAAGAACTTTGATGTGAGCAAAGATCTTCACTTAAAGCAAGGAAATATGTAGCTTTGTAACTTGAATGATTGTGAAGATATGATATGACAGAACTTGGCAGAAATTGTTCTGAAAAAAAGAACTTCATTCTCATAAAAATAAGATATTTTCTTTATAGTTATCAGGGACAGTATTGTGAAAAATTCAGCATGTTACTAACCTGCAATTGTAACATCAGATGAGGGTAACTGTAGTAGCAACAAGCTTGTCCTTTCACCCCTACTTCTACTTCCTTTCATTCCTTTCTTTCAGCTGTGCTGTTCAGGCTAGGGAAAGCAAAATGTATTTTAAGATTATTTTGAAATTCAAGAGAATAATAGCACCTGAATGGAAAGAAGAGCAATATTTATATAGAACAACAGTATTTATATTAATATTTAAGAGTATATGGCTAGGTCCTTAGCAAACATCAAATTATGAGAAAAGTGTGATTAAATACACTCAAGCACCTTGAATAATGCAACAACATCTTGTCAGCATAGCAGTTGCTCTATCATTACTCCCACTCTAGCCTGTTTCTGGACAGTGATAAAATACACTTTCCTAACTCAGTAAGAGATACCTGAGTTCTGAAATTATTTGATAAAGCAACCTTCCTTTGTAACTTCAACGTAACTTGAAATCCCTTCCCTTTACTTTTTTTCCAGCGATTTGTAGAAGCTGTCTTGAATAGTTAGCCTTTTCTCTACTGGATCTTGAAGCAGAACATCATTTTAACATTGCAGATGCAACTAGAATTATAGGCTAGTTCCCTTTGTAGACAGTGATGGTGCTTCAAATGGATGGCTCCTGTCTGCGAAGGATAACTGGCATGCATCATCCTTAGAGGTTCCTGGCTTTCTACACTAAGAAACCTGGACAACTAGTATAGGCCAGCAACAGATTTAGACTGCTACAGCTGGATTGCCTAATTCCATCCTTCTGTTAGTTATCCTTCCCAACTCTCTTTCCCTACAGAAATATTTTGATTAGATAGAAGCCAAACTAAATTTTGTATGTCTTTATATTGTATATTTGGAGAATGACAACAAAATTTTTTTGTTCCAAAGTGTCTACCATCGGTATGACTGTGCCACTGGGGACTAGTTTGACCTTTTGAAAAACATCAAGCCAAGGTTTGCCCACTGGATAATCACTCTAGTGATTGTATAACAAATCTGAAGCGCAGCAACAAAAGCGGATGGATGTCTTGACAATGTTGCCAGAGTCAGACATGCCAATGAGATAGGAGAAATGCAGGAAAAAAAAGAAATGAAACTTGGAAGTCAAAGAGATAGAGGAGAATCACAAGAACCAACATAAAATGCTGCTTCTAGAAGATCTCTGAAGTGATTATGAAATGAATGGGCAAGACATGGATTTTTCATGGGATGTGCTTAAGAGAGTATGCAGTTAGGAGAGGGAAACCTCAGTAATACAGACATCTGTGGTTTTGTTTCTGCATAATCATGGACTACAAAATATGCAAGCAATATTTTGGAAAGGGAGAACTGGCAAATGAGCCACAAACCAACAAACCATTAGCAACACATACTTCATTCTGTCTTTAATCAAGGCTCTGAAAGAAGACTAGATGCGGTATAATAATTCTTATAAGAGCCCCTAGTTTTTATATAGGATAAACTCCAAGGTTTTATCCTATATCTGATGCTTACACATAACTGACTAGTTTAGTGCAATAGTATACCTACTTTTCTGGATGAACAGAATTTAAACATAAGTGAAGAGAAAGGAGATTTTATTTCCTCAGTAAGTAAAAAATACTAGAGTTGAATACAAAGACAGTGGACTCAATGTACCATATGACAGGCCAAATTTGCCATGCCACCTGATTAGTCAACCTGATTATAGTCTCCAGGCAGCTTGCACATGTGACTTAAAATAGCATCTCTAATGTCTTTGTAGTAACAGACCATGTCAGGAAGAAATTCAGCTGGTTGTTTATATGCAAACTACACTTTTGTAGCCCATAATTCATAACATCCTAAATTTAGGAGGTGATCCACTCTCCCTAAGGATCGGAAGCATCATGATGTACTCACCATGACCCAATCAAATGAAAGGCAGCAATAATGTTACAGTTCAGATTAGTCAATTAGAAATGCCATCTTGCTAGAGGGCACCTTTCACCACAATCTGCATTGCTCAGAAAGCAGTTCAATTAGACAGATAACACAATCCAAACAGAAAATTTCCCAGCTGTCCAGTTTAAAGACGAAGTTTAAAATTGGTGTGCATCTTATTTTAAATTCGATTAGAACATGGATTTCTGCCAAAAGGAATAAAAGGCTGTTTTAAAGAAATATTTCAGTGATATATATTATTTTCTTCAAGACATAAAGGATAGCATGAAAGAAACCATGAAATTGAAAGTAAGGGAATTTAAAATGAATTGTTTTAGACAGAACTTTTATGGCAAGGAATGAAGACAAAAAAAATTATTTTCCCTTCTCTTTATGTTGGGGTATTGCTGCTTCTAGCTGGTTACAACATTTTTTGCCTTTGGTCTTATGAAATAGTATAAATTACATTAGCTGAAGCTGAAAGGTCTCAAAGAGAGTCTGTAATCTCTCAGCATGGTAATCTGGGAGAAAAGCACATTTCGAAGCTTTTGTGTGTTTTGTGATACATGAAACAACTATACTTACAAAGCTTTCATGTTGCTGTAACTCTTGGAAAAAATATACTGCTGTTTGAGTCTATTATCACCTTGTTGGGCTCTCACTTGTAATAGTTTGCAAACAGTTAGCCTAAGTGAATGTATGTAGAAAACCTTCAGAATAACTAGCCCTGTGACTCTAAGGGTGCAGGTGGATTATGATAATTTTTGGAAAATTTTATTATATAATGTCTAATGTCTTTCTGTATGTTTAACATGCTTTATTATTCCAATAATTTTTCTTCATCAATTACTTCCAAATAAGCCTGGTTTATAAAAATACCAGTAGAAGTAAGTAAGCATGATACACAACAATAAGTTATTATCAGGCCAACTGTGCATGCATTCTCATAAAAGCTGAAGGCATCCTGGAAGAACACTTATTACTTCACAGATACCTGAAACTCTTGTCCCAAAGCCAGGGACAGGACATTACATTGTTGTTGCCTTTAGTGATCATTAGTGAAACAGTTTCAGATGATCCCCTAAGGAAACAAGACCTCTGTGGCAACACTGGTTGTGTGGGTATGGTATGTATATGCTACTAATTTAATTTCAGTTACTTCCTGCTTGATCAGTCACTTTGGACAGAGAGTTGGAAGTATGAAAAATATGTAAGCTCTTGTAGTTTTCATAAAAATAGGTACTTGGGAAGAGAAAACCATATTAGTATACATAAAAGAAAATCTTCAGCATGAACTCAGCCCATCATAAAGGCCAAGGACTGAAGAGGAGAAATAATTGTAAAAACAAATCAAACCAAATGAACAGCTTTGTTAAGGTCTAGCAATTCACTGCAAGCTACAAACTTGTCAGTATAAGAACTCAATTTACCTGACATGGACATCTTGCTTCCACCTACAGCTTAGATAAGAGTTACCTCACCAGCACTGGCCATCTGAGAGTTATTTACCCCAAACTAGTCTTTACTATGTCTTTACTGCTGAGTGATACAGGGCTAAGGACAAACCCTCAGACCTGAAAGTGAGTAGTGTTGAATAGCCGTAACTAGTAGTGCTGTTCTCTCTCCAGGAAACTTAGGTACTTTTTGAGAAGATCTGCTTCTACAAACACATGAAACTTAAGTGTAAGATATCTAATAAAGATGGACAGAGTTCAGCTTCAGATTTTAATTGATTCTGGTGCTCACTGAACAACCTTAATGTCAATAATTGCATCCACATCTTATTCAGTGGATTTGCCTAGAAGAAAATAAGTTGGAACAATCTGAGGCACTTCCAGACAGTAAAGAATTAAGTATTTTAAGTAAGTATATATGCAGTGTTTGAACTCATTCCCCCACGATTTTTTATTTCGCAGTAGGGGATCCACGATCAGTGGAGCTAACAGACAATTCTAGAGGATGAGATGAATTATCCTAGAAAAGACACCTCTGCTTTTGATCGTAGTTGAAATGTGTGCAGTACACTTAGGCTAGACAATCAGCTTTTAAACAGTTTAAATTAGGTATGATTAATCCTAGCCTGGAAAGTACTGAACTGCTCTCAGGCTACCTGAGTTCCTCATACAGTCAATGAGGAAGGCTAGGTTTTTTTGAAGATACCGTAAGAAAATTCAATTAGCTTAACTTTGCTTGTTAAACTGAATCAGGCAGAATCACCCTCTTGTGAAACAAACTCTTACTATTGACTATCCAGGAAACTTAAGCACTTGCTTTAGAAGGATTGCTTCAACAAATTCAAGGCGTTTAGGTGTCCAGTGAAGATGAACAGATTTATTTTTTCAGATTTCATTAGTACTGGTGCTCAGTAAAGAACCTTAGCATCATTAGAGCTATTAAAATTTAATATTTAGTATTAAAATTAATGTTTATATTGTCATTTTTATAATCTGTTGCCACAGTGGCAGAAGATTACAAAAAAGTTACAAAAGGCATGCAGGAGGAGGCAAAACATTCTAAAATGTCAGATTTTTCACCTATACTGTCAATGTCATTTGTATTATTAAGAACTTGTCTAAATTGACAAACCTAGGAACATTTCCCAGCTAGTGGATCCAGGTGTATTATCCAGCTGATTTCTAGTTGGATGACAACAATTATGGCCCTTTGGATGAGTAGAAAAGAAACTGTGGCACAGTCAGTGTGACCCCTTGCTTGGCACACCATAGTTCATGCTGTGAAGATGTAAACAAAAGTTTAGGAATGGCAGTTTAGGTCATGTCTGTATATACACATACACACACATATATAAAAATACTTCTTTAGGTATATTCATAAAATATTATAGGAGTTTTGAAAACAGTTTGTTAACTAGAAGATCATTTAAGCTAGAAGCAACATGCAAATAAATAATACAGTAGAAATCAAACAACCTCCCTGAAAGTAAGGTGAGGTCTATTTGATGGATTTCCTCTGAACAGCAGATACATCAGGCTGAGAATAATAGCATAGAAAAAAAAAAAGAGAGAAAGAGGATACATTTGTACCAGAGGGAAATAAAATTGCTCAAGGCTGCAGCACTGTGGAGGCTTGGGAGAAATGGTAGTGTTTTCCCATCCCTAGGGAATCTTGGAACTGATTTCAAAAGGCAATACTCTGGATGGGCTGTAGCTGAATTGTTTCCTCTATGGCTAACATATACACTAGGAAATCCTTATGCTCAACCGTGAGCAGACCTTAAGGAGTTATTTAAAGACATATTCTAAATTTGCCTTGTTATGTCTTTCATAACTTTCCAAATCTTTTTTTTCCAATTCTTTTTTTTCCAAGTCTTTTTTTCCAATTCTTTCACTGAGCAGTTTATCCTCCTTTGCTAGGACAAGCTTGTTTCCTCCTTTAGGCTTTTCTGCAAACTTAAGGAGAATTGCAGATAACAAACAGGTCCCATTAAAGCAATGGCACTCCCATTAAAGTGATGCTCTTTTATTTGGTTATCCTCTGGCTAGCAATCATCTAGGGCAAACCCTGAGGCTACATCTATATGAATAAATAAATAGGATAAGGGCTGGCCTACTGGCCCTGATGTGAGCAGCGAACACACCCATAAAACTAAAATAATTTCTCATTCCCACACCAGATAGCCTCTTGCTTACTGCCTAGCAGAGAACAGTCTCTGTCCAGCGGTATTTCCTAGACAGCACCTAAATATTTTTTGACAGAGCCTTAGTTAGAAAGGACTGAAAGCATAGAAGCTTATGTGCTAGCAAATCACATTTACAGGGGATTGCTTGCTAGTAGTTCTTGAGCATATATGCCCTCACCCTGTTTATTAATACTACAGACATAGCAGCAGGGTCCAGGCATGATTGAGGGGAAAGCATTTTTAACAATTAAGGTTCCTTAATTTTCTTAAGTTATTACAGCATTTGTATCTGTTGTGTAATAGAAGTTCTCCATACTAGGAGTTGAGAAGTAGAACTAAAAGAAAAATATCAATACCATTCACTTCACCCCTGTACATTTTAGGGTTCCTTCCAAGCCTGTTTTTTTCTCCATCTCCTTCTTTCAAAGGCATGCTACAAAAAAATAGAGGGAAACAGAAGCCTTTAATATAGAGTTTCTATTTCCAATATAAAACCAAAACGAACCTCCAAAAAAAGAACAGAAGTACAGTTATGTATGGCATACAATATATTCCTCGCCTTAGCTATTGTATGTCACAAAATACCTCGAATATTTTAGAGTATTCACAAGTGGCTGCATTTATCAAATTCTATACTTTAGGAAAAAAGTAATGAAATACACAGAAGAACAGACACACTTGGAAGTGGACCTACGTTTTCAACACAATTTTTTCAGTAATGCAATTTTTGTCTGGAAACCAAGAATCAAGAGATTTAGCTCATCATGGATTTCTAAAGAATCTGATTCAGAGGAGCTGCCACTGTTAGTGCTGTTTGAAGGCTGAGATTCTAAGTCACAAAACAATTTAATCTTTTATATAGGAATTCAATAGCTTTTTCAATCTGTAATATCTGGGATCTTTTTTTACACATTGGAAAGGAATAGCTAACAAATAATTCAACTGAAATTCAGTTTTGGTTGGCAAAGTTTTGTCTGTAATGTCTATTACACAATACTTTCTCTAATGAGTTCAAGCCACCTTAATAGATGCATATGATATTAGGTTGTCAATTCCTCATCCAAAACTATTTACTAGTGCCACTGTGTAAATTTCGAGCAGTCTGAAGTGGAGTAAAACTGAGCCATGTAGGTTTGGTTTCTGGAGAACCATTTGTTTAAGACAGACAAAGATTTTAGGGTAAGGGAAGTAAGTGGGTGCAAAGCCAGCCAAAATGAAATGACTTTTCCAAACCGACATAGCAACAGTCACTGCACATACTTTATTAGTTCTATAATCTTACTTTCTAAAAATAGGAAATCTAGTAAGTTAAATAATAGTTTTTTGAAAGTTTGTCTTCGTAATATTTTGATAAAGATGTCACTTGAAGATGACAGTGCTACTGAAAATTTCAGAGCTGCAAGAGTGGGAAATTAAAGGTTCATCCTGGAGAAGATATATTTATTTATCTATGATAATATTAATTATGTATTAACCAGTGTTTCAAATTGACATCTGATGGATCACTCCACATCTGCTATGACTACCTGTATAGTAGATTTCAGTCTATAATCACTCAATATTGCAGGTTTTTCCATCAGGGAAAATATTAACAGAATGGATGTATTGTAAACCAAAGACTGAAACAGCTTCTTGTGCTGATTAGGGGACAGCTGAACATGATTAGCAAGTCTCCTAAAAATTTGAAGGCCTAGAAAAAATAATTCAAAAGATGAATGGTTATCTCAACCTTGAGATTTTGTTGAAGTAATTCTGATGTAAAATGGATAAAACAGAAGAGCAGAGTATGACAATGCAGTCAGAACCTTAGACATGGAAATAGCAGTGAGGAGACAGTAGAAAAGGAAATTATATATGACTAAAGAATGGTTCAGTTGGAAGGGACCTACAATGATTTTATAGTACGATTCCCCCTGAGAGTTTCTCTCATCCATCAGGGATGGATGTTTCATTTGTAAAGTTGGATTTAATTCCCTCCATACTATTGTAAAAGTGTGGAAAGAGGTTTAGACAATCTGTTTAAAATTAGTGATATTAGAAAGTCAGATGACATGAACCACAGCTTTTTTCTTTTATTGAGCCAATGAATGCTTTACTAGGGTTTTAAAGTTTTTTTAGGTTTTGGTGAGGTAGATGTCATAATACATTTACACAAAAATAAAATCTTCTGTTACGTTTTTAATTTGCAAGCTTCTTTAGCCACAAGAAATTACCAATCTGTGATAGTTTTGCTTGTATTTTCTAGCTTTGCTTACCAGGCTATGAGGTAAAATTCTGTAAACTAATATATCTTGATACTGATAAGATATACCTTAAAATTAGAGACTGTCAGTGCTGTACTGGTTTTATACGTATGTTCTTGAGGAGTGATGAGATCTTCCAAGCACGGAGAAGCCTCAGGTAAATGCAGCTTTGGAACATGCTCTTGTTACACTATGTCCTTCCCAAACTCAATATTTAATATAGCACACTATCAAATGCTAGTTCATATAACACAGTCCTGGTTACATACACAGATCTTCCTGTTCAGCCATTTGTGTATAAATTTTGGTTTTCATGTATCCATTCTTTCTCTTGAAGTGATGAAGATTTCAGATGGAGACACCCATAGAAATGACTTTACAGTATCTGTAAATATTTCAAAACAACTGTTGAAAAGCAGGGAAAGAAAAACCCAAACAAGCCAAGTAGAAAAAGAAAGGTTAGTGTTCAGTAATCTAATATACTGTAAATAAAATTGATGCTGGTGTTTTTTCACAGTTTTTTAGGCTCCAAGAAGTGAAATGATGGTGAAACTGTTACATGTCAAAATACATAATCCAGTAAATCTAGGTTTTTAGGAATGCAGGCAAAATCTACTCTGCTGATTATCTGTAAATACAAGGCAAAGCTCTAAAGGAAAGCTGGGTGGCAAAGGGTAGGATGTCTGCCAGTCATTTCTTTCACCATCAGTTGAAAGAAACAGGTGATTCTTTGGTGTAATTTAAAACATATTACTAAAGAAACCTAAAGTGGCCAGATGAATTATATCCCAGTAGTCCTTCTCTCCCTTGATTACAAGGAGAGCCTAGGATGACTATGTCAGATGCAATTGTTTATGTGACTGATGTCTACGATCTGTAGAAAGGAATTTTACCCTAAAAAGCACTATGGAATGAAGCTTCATTGCTTTTGTATGTCTAAAAATTTTAAGTGTAAAAATTTTGAAACCTTTACGAAAGTTTCAAATGAAACCTAAATTTGTTAATGTAGAGATTAATCTCACATGTAAAGTAACATATTCATAGAAAGAATAGTCTATCTTCCAGTTTTAATTTTAAAAAGGAATGTGAGCTGGTACTATTTCCAGCTGTTTTGAAAGTTTTGTATTAAAATATATGGAGTGTAATCATGTTCTCTATGCAGCTGGGATAAAGTGGGGACATTGGCTTTGTTTTATTGACACAGTTAACAATGCAATGTTAAATATAGCTGAAATAATTTGTGCAAATATGTCTTTTCTTTAAGTTTTCTTGAGGAATTCCTTAATTCCTTTCTTAATTACCATTTTGTAATATCCAAATAATGAATAAGAACTGTTTGGTTAATTTTTATAAACATCATTTTCATGCCTTAAAACTTAACAGTCTTTAAAATTATTTCTACCATTTAAAAATAATTTATATTCTTTTCATACTCAAAAGAGATCTAACTTTATACTTTCATTAAAGCTAATTTATTCCATTTTTATATGTATATTATTTATATACTATTATTTATATTGTCTTTTAGTACACCAATAAGGTGGTATTTGTTTAATTAATTTCTTAAGCTTTATACATAAAGCCTTTGACACATTCTGAAATATGAATAATACCCCTTTGATTATCAGGAAGCTGTTCAAAGTTTAATGTATGACTGGATGTTGCAATTATTAAGTAACCACTGAAGCACTTTAAAAAAAACAACCCCTCTGTTTATGGACTTTCCTCAAAAATACACTCTTGTGGGAAAAAAAAGTAAAATCTAGCATTATTAATAGTGAAAATTGCTATTTGGCGTAACTGGGAAAGTGATCTTTGTCCAAATGTCATTAAAAGCACTCTTCTAAGACTAATTCCAGAAGTGCTCAACTCCATTATAACTCCATTATAAAAATGGTGTGTTGCTATTTCCTTACCATTTTGAAAAGCTGAAAAAACCCCAGTCCATATAAACCATTTAACATTATTTAAATTTGTTTTCGGATGCACGTGGAAATCTCAAATTAAATTAAATCTCAAAAGGTACATCTGCAGTATGAAATGGCATACCACTCCAGTTTACCTCTGAGTTCTCATCTCCTTACCCTTCACACTATGTAAGCATTAGCTCATTTATGGTCTTTTTTTTCTGGACAAAAAACCCCAAACAAACAAACCCAGTTTCTTCTGCAACAAATCCAGATACAGCTTTGGGCATAGTTCACTCTACTTGTAGTTCTGATGGTTTTCAGGTGTAACATTGTACAGCTCTCAGCAGAAACCTTTGTTGTCTACTTGTGCATTCATGAAAACGCATAACCATACCAGAGGTTTGATGAAATAAATCTGTACAAAGCAAAGGAGTACTTGTTATTCATTATCACAACACCAAAAAAATTGAGAACGTTGTTTTATGTCGGAAAATATAAAAATTGGCCTTTACCTTTTAAAGAGTTGTATAACTTTTTCCTGTGCTCTCTTTTCCTGTTTAGCTTGAGCTGCTGTATGCCTGTTTCTGTGATGGTGGAAACAGCCAGTGGATGAAGAGCACGCTCCCACTCTGGTATTTACATCTCATTCTTGTGTGTTGCAGTGCCAGGCTTGTTGCTAGCATGTGCACTGTCTACACTTAGCACAAGAGAGAAGTAAGACTGATGAAGTTTTTACCAAGACATCTAAAGGTTTGAGAGGGATAGATCCCATCATCTACAAAGGAAGAACTATCCCATGATGGTTCTCAGTGCACCTCACTACAGAAGCTGTGTGGATAAGACCACAATGCTTTCACCCTCTGTCATTCTTTGGTGCTACTTTGTGCTCTCAGATAGTCCCATATATCTTCATTTATGTTGATGGCACGAAGGTTCAGTCTTTCCTCAAAAATATTTAACACCACTAATAGTGCTTGAATCAAATTCAGCAAAGGCAAGTGCAGGGTCCTGCACATGGTGGGAAATAACCCCATGCACCAGTACAGGCTGGGAGTCGACCTGCTGGAAAACAGCTCTGTGGAGAAGGACCTGGGTCCTGGTAGACAACAAGCTGTCCATGAGCCAGCAGTGTGCCCTCGTGGCCAAGAATGCCAATGATAAGACTGGATATGGCACTAGGTGCCATGGTCTAGTAACCACAGCGGTGTTGGATCAAGGGTTCGACTTGATGATCTTGGAGGTCTTTTCCAACCCAGTCGATTTTATGTTCTATGATA